TGTTTAGGATCTTTAGGAGTTGGTTTACTGATTTCATCGGCAGGAAGTTCTTCTTCCTCAGCTGCTTGTGGCTTTTTCTTTCCTAGTGGTATTGTTATCTGTGCTTCTGGTTCATCGTCAGGCAATTTCACTTTCGGAATGTTCTTCTTGTCCGGCTCAGTAGCTGGTTTTTTCTTCGATGTTGGTTCATCTGGCGTCTTGCTTGGCTGCGGTTTCTTGAACGCTTGTTTAGAATCTCTTACAGTTGGTTTGCTTGCTTCGTCAGCGGGAAGTTTTTTCTCTTTAGCTATATCTGGTTTTTTCTTCACTAGTTGTATGGTTGCTTGTGCTTCTGGTTTATCATCAGGCAATTTCACTTTCGGAATGCTCTTTTTGTCCGAGTCAGTAGCTGGTTTTTTCGTCGGTGGTGGTTCATCTGGCCTCTTGATTTGCTGCGGTTTCTTGAACGCTGATTTAGGATCTTTAGGAGTAGACTTAATGATTTCATCACCAGAAAGTTCTTCTTCTTTAGGTGGGTCTGGCTTTTTCTTTCCTAGTGGCGTTGCCGGATATGTTTCTCGGCCTTCATCCGATGGCTTTATTTTTGCGGACTTTTTGTCATTCGGCTCAATACTAGGAGCTCTTCTCGCTTGGCTAGGCTCGTCATTTATAGGCACTTTTTCTAGTTTTGGCCTCTTTCTCGTTTGTTTTAAATCCTCGTGTTGAAGACTTTCGACTTCTTCTGCTGAGAGTTCCTCTTCACTAACTGTTGGCTTCGTCTTTTGTCTCCAATTGGCTCTTGGGTTCTTATGTGGTGTGCGGTGAGGTTGCTCTTTTTTAGCGGGCTCATCTGTGCATGGTTCAGTAATCGACTGTTTCGGTGCCTTTAAATCTCTCTCATTGTATGTTTTCTTTTTTGGGTCGTGCATATCAGATGTTTTTTTTACTGCACCGTTTATTCTCTTTGGGTCTCTCTTCTCCAATGGCAATGACGAGCTTGATCCGGGCTTCTCATCGTTTCGGTTTTCTCTGTGAACGTCGTTGCTTATCGAGGGACATGGTGAATTGGGTTCATCTCGGTCAAATAGCTTCGTTACAGCCGCAGGTTTATTTTTTCGTGGATATTGCTCAGGATCTGAAACACCTTGTATTTATTTTCACTATGAGTCTTTTACCGCAAGGGTTCTGTTATACAATGAAATTAGCGAAGATCCTGAATTTCATGACCTTTTTATAGTTTCTTATCTAAATTTAGGCAATATATTTTACCTTTCCGCGACGTTTTTGAGTCTGGTGTGTCTAACGCCGAATTTGCGGTGCCGAGAGCCGGTCTCGTTTCTTTGGGCTTTTTAGTATCCTTAACAGTCAGTTGTAAAATTTGCAATAATTGATGGTACTAAAGCTTACCACACCCTATACTTTAGTAAAAAATTCTCTTGCGTAATCAACGGGTTTGATACATTCGTAATGGTAATGATTCTCCGACAACTACCGACCATTCTGCGATAACGCTCTAGAAGGATGTCCACAGATTTATAGAGGATTTTGCTCAATACCTAAGGTGCTCTGTAATTCTTTTCATTAAAATTTAAATGTTAGTCAGTCTATAGTCCATTTCTTTCTAGATTGAAAAGCGAAGTTTGAAAGCCCAAAAAGTTTTAATGCGAAAGAAAACTTCAAAATTTCTAATGCACGCGCGGTGGTTGCAAAAATTATTGGTGCATTCGGAAACGCCACCGTGAGTAGCATTGCTGAACAAAGTCCCGGTTGTTCAATCGCCTCGGTGTCCGAAATACGTATCCTGCCGATAACGATGTCTACGGAAGAAAGAAAAAGGGACAAGAATGATTAATGATCTATGAGCTTCAAAAAATCAATATTCTTTCACAGTCGAGCATGATGCATGCCTTGCTGTCGAAGATTTTTAAATTCCAGTGTTTTTATCTAAATCAACTTAAGTTCACTCCTAACGGAGATAAGTTTGTTTAATAATGAAATTCACTTTCGTTTCCGGACAATTTGCACTGAAATCAATGGACATCGTAATAAATAAGTTATGCTAAGTGAGTTCACTCATCGGTGACATTCTTGTGGTTGTGTTTCACCTTCGCGCCTTTTGTGAACAAATTAGTCGGCAAACATTCAATTAAAACGAAGAAGGTATAGCTTTTAGGATATGATAATAACGACAACACCGAGGAAGAACACAATAGTGTCACCATGTAACCTCATGTTAGTGCTAAAATCAACCGCACCAAGGTATCGCGACCGTGGAAGAAATCACCTTTTTTCCTTCAAAGGAAACCTTCCACTCTGTGGTAGCAGACGCAATCATCGTCGCTCAGCACAGCCACAGGCTCTGACCAGCACACTATGATCACCGAAGAGCTATATGATAACTTCACATCCAGAAGTTCGACATTTTACAACGATGTTATCATTGTTATAAAGAGAAGACTTCGACATGGTGACACCGAATCATTTGTCATCCACCCTCAGGTGCTCCATGGAAAAGTCGGAATATAGATATGTTGCTTTTTTATTAACTTCGGAATTGAGGATCGAAATATTGGCCTGCTGTTGCACTCAACAATACGCTGTGCATAAAAAACTGACTCGTTCCTGATGCTAATTCGCATTGGATGGAATATTTTCGAATATACCAGCGATGTGTGTGTGTCTAGAAGGAGAAGTCAAGGTAATTAATGAATCAGCTCGACAGTTAAGCAGCAGGAAACGAACGCATTGTAGATATCATGAGGACAAATAGTGAAAAAAAACACATAGGTCTGTTTTCATCTGAGCGGGAATATTATTCTCACACCTCATTAAATCAGTACGCTTCATAGCCAAGATTTATCTTTTTCGGAGAAGTGATCTTAAGAGTATTCCATATCACGGAAATAAGAAGAATAATCAGAACCTTCAACGAGTTTCCAGTTTCGCTAAGATGATCAAAATCTTGGAGAGCAGTCGCACACGCTAAGATGTCAAAAAGGCGGGCTGGACAGATCATTCGTCGTGCACTGGTCTAATTGCTTGGTTCCACATGACATCAACCATACGTCAAAGAAGAAAACGGAAAAAAGTAAAAAATATATCCATTGTTCCTCTACTGATCACTGAACCCGCTGACTCATTTGTAGTCTTTTGGAGTGAAATTACTACCTCAAAGTCACTAGAAACGCCACTTTCTACTTCAAAAAATCTTTGCTATTTGATGGGGTTGAATTCCCATAGGCTATACGTCATACAGGAAGCCTCATTATCATGTGATTGTTAGTATGCATGTTAGAAGAAGATCAAATTTTGACGAAGCACTTACTTGTGGGATATCTTCGATAGATTCCACAGAGACTTCGTCATCGTCATCTTCGAAAGAGATGTCTTCAACGCTCTAAAAGAGGGTATTTCTTCATAGTCAAAGAAGTTCGCACTAAGAGCGAAGCTGCCTTTTATACATATATATATTATATATATATACATATATATATATATATATCAGGTTTTGATAAATCAGTTTTGGAAAACTACAGGCGACAACAAGAATAGAAACTATTGCAACATTTGGCGGAAAAAGATGATTTCAGAGTTTTCTAAAACTGAAAAATATCAAATAATATATGGAGGATATTCCACAGGTTTTTCCACTTAGCTAACTATCATTTAAAAGACCAATTAAACTGCAGTTAGACGATAATTTCGAATTGATGAAAAAAGGCTATGTAAAGTAATACCATGGCACACATCAGAAAATGATACAACATATAAAAAAGCTATTCTATGCTTCGCGCTTGTCATTTAGACTGCGAAGTGAGTTCATTTCTTGAGAAAAACGTCAGCCGGATTGAATTGATACCAACCCACTCTCATTACGCCCATTTATTTTGCTGCATAGCAAGTCTTTGCCGTAGTTTTCTGATTCAGTCTCAGAGACAGACAGAAGGATCGGAAAAGTTATTCTGAACAGTCTTGTTTTGCAGCGAAAGGCTGTTGATCGTATATAGGGCATCCACATCAAGGACTAAGATAACGAAGAAACATTTTGAAGATGCTTCCTATTACCGACCATTGTCCGAAACAAAATTCAAAAGTTACTATCGAAAACTGAACAACGAATGGGTAAAAATCACAAGACCCTCCGGTCCAACAGTCCCCTTCCCCACTTATTTCTCAACTCAGTGTTGAATTACGGACATCAACACCATTGAATTAGTATACAACGGTGATTCTGCGTCTACCGATCCATCATCATTCACGGTTAGATCGATCATCCATTGCGTAAACGGGAAAACGGATAGATTCGCTTACTTTACAAACCTAATAGTCGTCTAGTTGCTGAAACAGATCCCAGCCTATCTCATGAATAAACAAATGTTCCCGGATCGCCTGCATAAGGCGCGTCCTAACAACGCGTACGTGACAGGGTCGCTCGACGTTACCGCCTTTAATACTAAAGTGTCGAACAACTCCGCTATGCAAGCTATCCTCGAACACCTTATACAATACGAAGGAGCAGTAAACATGTATAGCTTTTCGATTAGGCAGCTCATGACCCTCTTAAAGGGGTGCCTAAGCGAGTCAATCTTCAGGTGGTCAGGGAAGTATTTTGTACAGTTGGGAGGGTTGGCACTGCGATAGCGAGTTCCACAAGCCTAGCCATTGTCTTTTTATCTAAGGTAGCAGCTCAAGCAGTCGATCGGTAACCATTACTCGACTGTTGATATATAGACGATTGCTCTGTCATTTTCTCCATGCAAGAGGAGGTGGACCACTGTTTTGAGGCATTGAATGAACAGTCAGAGTACATTAGCATTACCCAAGATAAACAGAACGAAATCCTGCTTCCATTTCTGAGCCTTCAAATTAACATATTCGAAAACGACTACACCATCAAGTGGCACCGAAAGTCAGGTAACAAAACCAACGGGTTCATTGCCTCCATCCTATCCTCTACACATGAGAGGTGTACACAGGAGTAATCACAGGAGGAATCATGGAACGAGTAATCACCCGGGTAAGAGCAGTGAATTTCCATTTTAAATTGCTGTAAAAGTTCCTCCTTGGAATAGCTTTAAAAGGAAAGATAATCCACCAAGTGATGAACCTAGGAAATATAACGTCCTCTTGCATCTATTTCTCACGAAGTGAGCGAAACTATAAAAGAACGCTTAAAAAGGGCCGGTCCAAAGAGATCGGCGGCACTGCTTGAGTCAGCGCTAAACGCTTTAGCTCGTCAGCTAGTTCGCCATTGCTTGTACGACCGTTTTAAAACAAAGCCAGAGGAATTGCCTTGACGGAAGAGACGGTGATCGCACGAGTTCTGTCGCAGCATATCCGTTCCCTTCTAAAGTGCGCTGGAATGAATGCACTCGTGAAATGAATAAACCATTCTGTATTCATTTAAAGGAACACCTAGATAGCAAACCTAATTTCAAACAAAACTCTCCATTATAGACGTACTGAACAAATGATGCAATGAGAAGGATTTTGAAGGAAAGGCCTTTATCCTCGAACAGCAAATTAAAACATCAGCGAGGAGATCTTTGAAGACATCTGGGATGAATTCTGAAAGCACAAAACTGAACAGCAAGGAAACCACTGCAACCGGATGTATCCTCGTCTCGAACCTCGAACCTCATGTCGATTTTTTGAAGTGGAAAAATGAGACAGGCACATTCCTCATCCGTGTAAATGCGGAGCAGGTGGTTCCTATCAAAAAATAGATGAGACACAAAAGACGATGAGTGTTTAGAGAAGTTGTTTTCATGCTACCGAATTTTAGGGTTTGACTTTTTTTTCTGTTAGTGTTATGAAAGTATGTAGCTGGGTAGGTTGCACTTTAATTTGACCCCTTGGAGCTTCGAAGGAGGTGGCGTCTGCTAAAACATTAGCCATTCCGAAATGAATTTTGTTATAACAACTTCGACGCTGCTCGTGAAGAAAACTTTAACTTGCTGATAAACTTAAGGATCAGTAGAAATTAGATCCTAATAATCACAGTAGTAAATAAATAACAAAGGTTTCTATCTACCAGCAACATGAGCAATCACTCGTCAAACGGAATTGGTCTATGGATCCGAAATCGGCAGTAAACTAAGTTAAGCTGAGGCTGTAGTTGAAATCACAATGTTGACTTTTTATTTAGTGTACATTATAATTTTTAAAGGCAGGGTATCATGTGTGATATAACCACAATGATGCTGAGATATTTTGCAAAACATCGAGCGGCAGGTGTCTGCGGTGGAAATCGAACACGCTATTTCTCTTTGCGAGGGCTAACGCGTTCACCACCACGCCATGTGTGTCCTTCGTTCTGCCTTTCTCTCAGCTAGTTTTAAATAATAAATAAATAAAAATAAATAATTAAATAATAGTTTATAACATGTCCAATTAGAACAGACATTGTTGCCCTTGAAGAAGACAGCGCTATCTCTATTGGACATGAACACCTAAGTTCGAAACCTAAAGATGCCTTTTCGTTGCTGTAAGTTAACGT